TTTTTTTTGGAGTTGGAGTTTTGCTCTTGTTGCCCAACCTGGAGTGCAATGGTGATAGTTTGATCTCGTCACACTGCAACCTCTGCCTCCCAGGTTCAAGCCATTCTCCTGCCTCAGCCTCCTGAGTAGCTAGGATTTACAGGCATGCGCCACCACACCTGGCTAAATTTTTTGTATCTTTAGTAGAAACGTGCTTTTACCATGGTAGCCAGGCTAGTCTTGAACTCCTGACCTCCGGTGATCTGTCTGCTTCAACCTCCTAAAGTGCTAGGATTACAGGCAGGAGCCTTTTTGAGGAGAAATTCATGAAATGAAAAAAAAAAAAAAAAAAAAAAAAAAAAAAAAAAAAAACCTTACAAGGGTTGTGTAGAAGTTTGAAAATTATTTTTGCTTCATGGGCCCTCAGCAAAATACTGTCAGGTATATTTTATCAGAAGTAAAACCCATAAAAACTAGGCAATGTTTACTTCATCTTCTTGATTTGATAATATGAATTTTAATGTGGTCAAAACTGATTTTTAAAATGCTGAGAATCATAATATGAATTATACTGTTTGATAGTTTATTGTTTTCTGATTCATTGTTTCTTCAAAACTTGAAGAAACAAGTTGGCTGTATTTTGAATGTATGAAGGAATGTGTACATTCTTTAAAACAATATCAATAATAATTATTTCTTTTTAATCTTTCTAGCTAGAAGATGAAGCTCTCAAGTATATAGGTGCACACTGTCCTGAACTGGTGACTTTGAATTTGCAGACTTGCCTGGTAAACATCCCATCTGACAACTCTTCTGTTTTAGTAATTGATTTCAGTAAAACTATTTTAAGAGCTTCAGTTATCAAGACCAGTATTGTTTTTCTACCACAACCCTGGCGACACAGTAGACACACAGATGACTCTTGACATGCTTAACAGTACCATTCCTAGGGGCCTTGACATAGATACGATAGGAGGTAGCTAGCTTATGCAGAATTCCATATGGGCTAACTGTAACTCCACCCCTTTCTTATGTACTTAAACTGTCTACTTTTAAAATGTAAATAATTCACAAATTTAATATTTAAAATTGCAATCAAGCTGGCTGGGCACGGTGACTCACGCCTGTAATCCTAGCACTTTGGGAGGAGAGCACATCACCTTAGGTCAGGAGTTCAAGACCAGCCTGACCAACATGGAGAAACCCTGTCTCTACTAAAAATACAAAATTAGCCAGGTGTGGTGGCACATACCTGTAATCCCAGCTACTCGGAAGGCTGAGGCAGGAGAATCGCTTGAACCCAGGGAGCGGAGATTGCAGTGAGCTGATATTGCACCATTGCACTCCATCCCGGGTAACAGAGCCAGACTCAAAAAAAAACCAGAAATGTTTATACTCTGAGAGATCAACCACAGTTATTAACATGAAATCATCATCTTATGATGCTAAAGAAAAACTATTCCTGGAGAGCTTCAAAAGTGTGTGTGCCAGGTGTAGTGGTTCACTCCTGTAATCTCAGGACTTTGGGAGGCCAAGGCAGGTGAATCACCTGAGGTCAGGAGTTTGAGACCAACCTGGCCAGCATAGTGAAACCCCAACTCTACTAAAATAAATAAGTAAGTAAGTAAATAAATAAATAAATAAAGTGTGGTGATGTGCACCTGTAATTTCAGCTACTCAGGAGTCTGACATAGGAGAATCACTTGAACCTGGGAGGTGGAGGTTGCAGTGAGCCGAGATTGTGCCAGTGCACTCCAGCCTAGGCAACAGATTGAGATGCCATCTCAAAACAAAAACAAGTGGGGTGTGTGTGTGTGTGTGTGTGTGTGTGTGTAAGCACACATACGTGCACATATATTTGCATATGCACTACATATATTACATACACAAATACATACCATTTGCAGATTAGGTTTGATGTTTCTTCATCCTTCCAGCAGGCAGGAATCACAGTAAACATAAAAAATTCTACCTAATGTGTATTTTATTGTTTTCCTTCACCCAAATCTTAGTACAGGAGTCTCTCTTTTTTTTTAGATGAGGTTTCACCATGTTGGCCAGGATGGTCTCGATCTCTTGACCTTGTGATCTGCCCGCCTCGGCCTCCCAAAGTGCTGGGATTACAGGCATGAGCCACCGTGCCCTGCCAGGAGTCATTTTTTACCTGCAGGGTGATAAAACGATTCTCAGCATTCATGAGAGTTCATGCTCTGCCCAAAATTGTTGAGACGATTGAAGTACATTCTTGATTCTTTGATTTTCTTGAAAGATTTGAAAACATAAAAGTTGAATACATTTTTTTTTTTTTTTT